TAAATTTTGAAGTGCCCAATAAGCAGAAAGCTTTTATGGCAACTACAATTAGTAGTGAAACATGGCACAGAAGATTTGGTCACATAAATTATAAAGACTTAAATCTAATGAAGAATGATTTAGTAGACGGTATAAATTGCAACAGTAATATAACAAACAATGATGTATGCAAAGTATGTTGTGAAGGAAAGCAGACTAGACCCCCATTTAGTTACAGAGGTAATAGAGCTAGTGCTTGCTTGGAGATTATCCATGCTGACCTGTGTGGACCAATGGAGATGACTTCATTAGGAGGTTCTAGATATTTCTTTATCCTTCAAGATGATTTTAGTAAGATGTCTTTTGTATATTTCCAAAAGGGTAAAGATGAAACTTTTCAAAATTTTCAAAATTTTAAATCTTTAGTAGAAAAACAGAAGGATACTAAAATAAAGATTTTGAGAACCGATGGAGGTGGTGAATTTTGTAGTAATATTTTTGAAAATTTTCTAACAAGTAATGGAATCATTCATCAAAAGTCAAATCCTTATTCTCCACAACAAAATGGTGCTGTAGAACGATTAAACAGATCGATAGTGGATAAAGCAAGGTGTCTTTTGTTTGACTCTGGCCTCGAAAAGATATTTTGGGCTGAAGCAGTCAACACTGCTGTTTATCTAAGAAACCGTTCAATTGTAACAGGTGTGACTAAAACTCCGATAGAAATTTGGACCAACAAAAAACCTGAAGTTGGTCATCTAAGAATCTTTGGATCTGAGGTAATGATGCTGATACCTAAAGAAAAAAGGTATAAATGGGACAAAAAATCAAAGAAAACTGTGCTTGTTGGTTATAGTGACAACATTAAAGGTTACAGATTATATGATCCCGAAATAAAAGATATTGTTATAAGTAGGGATGTAGTAATAAATGAAAAATCAGTTGATGTTTCAATCACAGTTGATGAAGAGTTGTCAGGATTATCAGATTCAGTGGGAGATAATCATGAATCATGTCAGGAACAAAATCATCATAATGAAAAGGACACATCGGTTGATAAAATTGCTGAAGACAACGATCCTGATTACTTATGTAACTTGCCAAACTTACCAGATGAAATCAGGAGATCAACCAGAATACCTAAGCCAAAAAGGTTTGATGATTTTGTGAGTTATTTGTGTTCGGATAGTGACTGTGATCCAGTTAGTGTCGAGGATGCTATGTCAAGACCAGATGGTAATCTATGGTTAGCGGCTATGACAGAAGAACTGCAGTCTTTCCAGGATAACGCAGCATGGGAAGTGGTTGATGTTCCCGAAAATGGTTGTGTAGTGAAGTGTAAGTGGGTATACAAACGAAAGGTTGACAACTTAGGTAAAGTGAAATATCGTGCAAGACTGGTAGCAAAGGGTTACACTCAAAAGTTTGGAGTTGATTATAATGAAACCTTTTCTCCAGTCATAAGGCATTCTACATTAAGACTTTTATTTGCTTTGTCAGCAAATTTGAATTTGGATATTTTTCATCTTGATGTAGCTACGGCTTTTCTAAATGGTGATCTAAAGGAAAATGTTTTCATGACTATACCTGAAGGTTTAGAAGTCGAAAATAACAAAATTTTAAGGCTTAAGAAAGCCATATACGGTTTAAAACAGTCAGCTAGGTCTTGGTATGAAAAAGTCGATAACTTCTTAATTAATCTAGGTTATAAGAAATCTGAATATGAGCCATGTCTGTACACAAAGATGAAAAATAGTCTAAAAACCATTATCTCTGTTTATGTTGATGATTTTTTTATTTTTTCTAACGATTCAGATGAATCAGATAATTTAAAATTGAAATTAAATGAATGTTTCAAAATTAAAGATTTAGGAGAAATTAAGAATTGTTTAGGTATGAGAGTAACTCGTAATAAAGAGAATGGTGTTATAACTCTAGATCAAAAATCCTATATTGAACAATTGTTAAAAAGGTTCAATATGGAGGATTCAAAAGAAGTTGCTACCCCAATGGAGATTAGTTTAAGTTTGAATAGAGAAGATAATGCATCTCCTCAAGTGCCTTATCAGAATTTAATAGGTGGTCTTATGTATCTGTCAGTTTTGACAAGACCAGACATTTCATATTCTGTAAGTTATCTCAGTCAATTTAATAATTATTATTCAGAAACGCATTGGAAGCATGTAAAACGAATATTAAAATACTTAAAGGCTACAAAAGAGTATGGATTAAGTTTTTCAAAAAATGATAATTATTTGAAAGGTTATGTAGATGCGAGTTGGGGGAGTAATTCTCATGACAGAAAATCTTATACTGGTTTCTATTTTCAGTTTTCTGGTGGACCTATTGTCTGGGAAAGCAGAAAACAGAATAGTGTTTCTCTGTCAAGCACGGAAGCTGAATATATAGCAGTATCGGAAGCTGCTAAAGAGGCTATTTTTTTAAAGAATTTGTTGTATGAAATGTTGGGTATTGATGAAATTGTTATACTATATAATGATAATATGGGAGCTCAGAAACTAGCAATAAATCCTGTATTGAATAGAAGAACAAAACACATTGATATCCGATATCATTTTGTCAAAGAAGCTGTAAACAAAGGTTTGATAAAGCTGGAGTATTTAGACACAGCTAACATGCCAGCTGATCTCTTGACAAAAAGCTTGAGTCCTGTAAAACACAACAAGTTTTTGAAAGAGATTGGTTTAGTTAATATAGTGTCAGAAATATTTGTTAAATGATATTTTTTAAATTTGTTTATCTAGTGGGAGTGTTGGATATAGATAAATAAATTTGAATATTTTCTAGCAGTGCCATCTATTGGCTACTTTACTAGTTGAATAATGTATCACTTTCCTTTTTTAGAGCAGTAGTAAAATTACAGTCATAGAGTAAACACGTGTTTCATTTTGTTCATCAAATCTCCATTTTTGTTCCAGAACTTTATAATTTCTCAATAGTCATCGGTTTTTGTATTTTCGTGTGGGAACTTCTCTGGACAGATAAATTTCTTTGGTCCACTTTCTCTGCATTGCAATTATTGTGTTATTTATGGTTGGAAGTGAATATAGATAAAAATATGTGAATAGTTTGAAATAAAGAATGGGAAATGTAAGATCAAGACTAGAGAGTGATTGCAGCAGTAACCATCTACTTCTACTATCTTGTTATAACTCATCAGTTCTTTTTCTCGGAACACCTCTAGCATTTTATGGATAGTGCATCTTATTTCGTCTGGTTTTATCTGGCTATTATGAAGAGTTTAAATTTTTGCGAATGCGATTGCTGTCTCTAAGTCATCTAATATTTGTATAATGGTTTGTAACGCTAAGTTTATTTAGTCCAAAACGTTTCGAACGAAACGGTAAAGACGAATTGGTTTAAGTCTGTTCGGATTTTTTTGGTGCTTGCAGCTATTATCTCTTGATTGTTGCTATAGAGCGTTCCATGTTAAGAAAATAACATTGCGGAGATAGGGCCATATATTTCTTATGGACGATAGAATCGCGGCGTTGCCACAACAAACACAAGCACGATTCAGGGTTGTATAATTTGTATTTTCGTTCCCACAGACATGAATTAAATTAATGGTTTTTAACGTAATTGACCAAAAGTACCCATTCGAAACAAGAGATGTAAAGTTGGGAAAATGATTTTTATTAAATAAATAGTATTTACAAAAGATAATTTTATTTTATCCTATTCTACTTATAGTAACGACAGTTTATTTGTTTTTCGGTAAGAATGCCATATACCATGAATCATAGAAATCAGTAGAAAATATTGCTAGTTAAATCATGCACTTTTTGTTAAATCAAAAAAAAAATGTTTTATTTTTTCAGTTATATCTTATTTAAAGCGTTATTCAATATGTAATGTTAAACAACAGTGGAATATAACTATTTTTATTAAACCTATAATAAATGCATACCTATATCTGTCAATTAAAGAAACAGGTATTTAGAATGCATTATTTGTATTCAACTATACATATCCTTTTATTAGTGAAATTATTTAACTACAACCACACAGTGCTGAATACGGCTCTGATTAGAATGAACCTAATACCAACGCATGCCTGAGAGTTTTGGCAACACTGATCTCTATAAGCGTAATGTTATTTTCTTAACGTGGAACGCTCTATAGTAGCGTCACTGTCTCGTTATAGTTGTTTATTATTTTCTTATTAAGGCTTAATTGGTTACTAATGTTTTTATTATTATTTTGTTGATTGAGTTCAAGTCACTGAATTACAGCATCGTATCTTTCGTTTGCTGAGATGGATTTTATAATATTTCCTAAGCCATTGCTAAATCCTCTGGTATTACTGGTTGCTGAATAAACTAAATCGAGTTTCTCTTGGGTTTGTCTTCAGAAGATACTGCAATGTTTTGTCGACGTCCTGTAGACTGTAGAAGTGCGGTTGACTTAGTCCATTTTCTATAGCTGTGTTTGTAGTTTGATACTGATATTCTAATGTTTTGATTTCTTGTGCTATTGGTTCCAATTGGAAATAGTGGATGAAATCATAAGTGGTAGTTTGCATTCTGGCTTCTCCAAGTTTAACTGAAAGGATCCCTGGATTGTTTCGACAGTCCTGGATTTTCACTTCTTGGGCTGTTACTGAGATACATAGATAAATGATAATGTTTGGCTGCGTTTCTTTTCGAATGAACTGGTTTCTTTTCTTCTTTCGCTTTTTTTATTGTCTTCTATAAATTAATTTAAACACTTCAACACTGGCCTTTTGTAAACTTCTCGAATTAAACAGCTATAGTTTTTTTATGGAAGTGGGTTAGTAGCGGGTAAACATTTGAAAATGACGAGGAACTTCTGTAGACTCTCCCACTATTCTACTGACTGCGCCACTTGGTTTTCATCTACGAAGGTACTTTTCTATTTTTAATATCTTCTTTTGAAAGAAGAAAAATATTAAACATAACACTACAATATACTATCGGCTACTAAAAGATTATCACTTTTAATTTCATTTTTTAAACTGTTTATATAATTTTTTGCAGAATACGCAAGATTTGCATTACAGCAGTATAACAGCTAAGGAGTCGTCGTTAAGGGAAGCTGGTTTTAAAAACGAATCAGAAATAATGATTCTTATTCATGATTTTACTGCAAACGGTTACACAGGATGGGTAAAAGTAGGTTTCATTCATAAAACAACATCTTGTAGTTAGATCTTTAACACCTAACATAAAAATAAGTGAATTCTAGTGGCTAAAATTTACGTCGCTTTCTAACTGACATTACATTACATTACATTATTGAACGAACTATAATAACTCCTTAGTCAATAATAAAATGTTACTTCGATAAGCTCTCCAGGAGGTCTGCAGTATTTCTAAAGATTAACATGTGTTTTTTATTAAATGAATTTTTGATCTTGACAAGTACTGCAGTAAATAACCATTCTGGAGTGTAATGTTCCTCGTCACGACGGATTTGCTTAAAAATTTTGTTTCTCTTACTCTCTACTTTACTTTGGAAATTATGCTCAGGGATGCTTTAGTTGGGGGGTGAATGCTACCACTTCTCGGAGAAAAAATTGACCTATTCCAAGTAACTCGTATTCCTTAGAGTTTTTCACGAAGTTAACACTTTTTGAGTTATTTGCGACAAAATATTTATATTTTAAAATAAAAACCACGCTTCTAGACGTTTTTTTCACAAATTAGAACCTAAATTCAAATTTTCATGCAATTTGACATTTTTGAAAATGAATTTGACGTTCATTTACTAGCCTAAAGGTAATGCATATTGTGCATAAGTAAATTTGAAGAACACAGTAGGATGAATTATAGTTGTTCTTATATTGTATAAAGTTTGATTTAAATTTTATAAGTATACCCTCAATTACCATCATTTTCAATAAAACCAATAAATATTCGTAAAGAAATAAAACTTAATTTTAGCATTTATCTAATACTGTTTTAACCAATGCCATGGATATAAACTTAATTTCTGTGGACTGGCAAAGAGGTGCAGAACCGCCTTATGATCAGGCTATAGCGAATGCTAGAGTTGTAGCGTTAGAAATTATACTACTAATAAAAGAGTTGCAGGTTAGTCTCGCCATCAAATTATTCGTAGTACTTTATTGATTCACAAGATTTTTGTGCTAAATTTTTAGGACAAATTCCATTTTAATTTAAACAACATTCACATGGTGGGACATGGTGTAGGAGCACACATTTGTGGATACGTTGGTATTACGCATAATACGATTGGAAAAATTACAGGTGAATAATATTATGATATTTTACTGTTTAACTACATATTTGCGTATATCGCAGCCGCAGTACAAGACTGCATTAAGTCGGTATAATCGGTAAAATAAGACACAAGTTTTAAGAAAAATTAACATTTAATTATAATTTTCCATGTTTTTCAGCCTATATTACATTAACAAAAAACAAAAATTTAAATAAAATATTATTAATGCTAAAAAAATAGGGATTTTAAAGTTACACCACTCTTGCATGGAGAAAATTGTAAAAAGTGTAGACACATTTTCTGTTAGTTGTTGTCCTCTTCTCGTATATCACCTTGGACCAAAATATTTTTATAAAAACTATGGTAGGGTTCTGGTATCATATTTGAATGGCAATAAATCATCGGGCGAGTAAAGAAAAAATAGTCCCCAACAGAAATCGGGGTATAGTATAGTATTAAATTTGACATTTAATAGATTCCAAGAAATCAGATAGCTACCTAGAATAAATAGGTACCTAATAAAACGGCTTATCGCTAGCGGCAATTTAATCTTTCTATCTCTGCACATGTTTCTGATAGCCACAATTCCTTGGAATGGTAATGACAATGTCATAACAGGGCATAAAAATTATTTGTAATACTTTCATTATTTTTATTAAGGTGATTAACAAAAGAATTGGTTTTTGAGAATAGATATTTTTAACCTGTCAGAATTATTAATAGTTTTAAAAGTTTTAAGATGTTTTTCCTTTCATAAGAAAAAATACTTTTTGGCTATAAGTAAATAGTCTTAATTTATGTGTTTTTAATCCAATTTAATAAATAAATGATCAAGCGACATCGCACACATTTTATAGAAAATATAATGTCACAGAAATTTTTCGTGCCTTTCATTGCTTGTTATCGAAACCATTGCAATGTTCCGTGCAAAACTGTTGTAACTCTGTTACATTAGAAGTACAACAGTTTTGCACGGAACTTATGTACAAAAACGAAAAATAGTTAAGCTGTTGTTGTTGTAATATTTAGCCGGTTAAGCATTTGAAAATTACTAAAGATTTACAGGGGATAGATATACATGTTTACAATCGAATTTCATGATTACTTCATTTTCATAATATTTTGAGTTACTGCAGTCTTGCACTGAGGGGGCAATATGTATGGGTGTGTGTAGTGGTATAAAACATGCATATTATGTTTATTTGCCACAGAATAAAACAATTTTACATTATATACATTTTGTTTTACTATAAAGTTAGCCAATATATATTAAACATTTCTGTTAACAGAAACAAGAAGAAGTGGCGTATTTGCTGGTTAAGCCAACTTTATTTGAATCAATGAGGACAAAAAAGACGTTCTTTTTTGATCATATATGGGACATTTAAAGAACATAAGGTTTAAATATGCTAACGTCGTATTATCATAAAAGCAGTAAGATGAGTTTATAATTTTCATTTTGTACAGGGTGTCTCATAATGGATTTAACGTTCTAAAGGAATAAAACAAACAAAATTGCAGAACAATTTTAATACACTTGTTAGATACGTCATAAATGCGGATTTATTGTTCAAACAAAACATCGTTTAAATGCTGGCCGTCTTCTTCGTGGTGATCTGTTAGTTTTAAGCACCAGTTGTAGAAAACTCGCTGGCACATCTGAATGGATATGTCACGTATAGTATTGATAATGCAGTCTTTCAGTTGCTGGATCTTTTCTGGTACGAGATCGGTGTAAACGATACTCTTTAGGTACCCCTATAGAAAAAATCCAAGGAGGTTAAGTCTGGGTATCGTGAAGAAAACGGAATATCTCCACTAATGGAAACAATTGGGCCAGGAAACAGTTCTGTAACTGGTACGGTACGGTACTGGTATGGTTCTGTACGGTACCTTCTTTAAAAAAGTACGGCCCGAATATGCCCCAGGCGGATATAGCACACCATACGGTCAATTTTTTAGAGTGTAATTGTCTTTGATGTTTTATGTCGCGGATTATCTTGTCCCAATTGTGTCCCATTAAGATTGAAATGGGTTTTATGGCTAAAAATATTGTTTTCGTACTACCTTCATTCCAAAAAGTGTTCATCATTGTCTCAGCAAAAGGTTTTTGTTTTAAATTTACAGCGCATTAACCGGATTTACAGCCTTCCATATATATAATATTGTCTGGCATTCTCGTGGTTTTGGGTCTACCAGCTGGTGTGTGATTTATGACACAAGCTGTTGCTCAGAATCTTTTCACCCAATTGTTCACCAAAGTTGCCGATGATACTTAGGCTAAACGTCTGATATTGAAAATTGCACAAACATAAACACCCGTTGCTCTACTGGCCACGGTGCCATCGTAACTGAAATTCGCATGTTCAACAAACCGTCTACACCATCAGCTTCCTCCTACTTAGAACAGGTCGAGCTCTAAAATAATTTCAAACTTTAAATCCATTACGAGACACTCAGTATAAATAGTAGAAAAAAACTGTCCATAATCTAGTATCAGTAGTGCGATAAGAGACTTACAGAAGTTGAGAACTAAGGATAACACAATGAGAAATGCCTTTGCGAAGGTTGTGGCAAAAAAGCTGACAAAAGTCGATAATAAAAAGCTTCTCTTCACAATACTTAACGAAGACCACGTTGCTCAGTTTGGGAACTTGATTGGGAGTGTTTAAGGATATAGTAGTAGATAGTAAAAAAATGTAGAACAAAAATCGATAGATAAACAATAGAAATCAATTAGACAACAAATATATGACAATATGACAATTATTTAAGAAGATTTACGACCGATTTGAAACAAGACACGTTATCTAAAGAGAAAAAACGATATTCACAGTCAAGAATACAATTCTGAGATTACCGCATCATATTTGATAATATTTATTACAAAACACAAGTCTTAAAACTCGACATTCCTTGACATTTTGTTATAATTTGTTTTAGGTCTAGATCCAAGTGGTCCAAGATTTGAAGGCATGCCAGATTTTGTCAAATTAAATCCAAGAAGCGCAAGCTACGTAGAAGTTATTCATAGCGACTATTATGAATGTAAGAGTAAATCACAGATTATACATTTATTTTTTTTACAATTAATACATGATGCAAAATTTTGAAATTTTGGGCTACAAAAATTTTTTATTTTTAATTTTGTCTGATGATTTGTTAAAGGTAACACATTCCATGAGATACAGCACGTATCAGCAGATGTTAGTCACGTTCATCATTGTTGAATTTAATGTTAAAGCATATTCTAAAAAATTTCAGGAGTAGATATAACAGACTAGGCACAGTTTTCTTCAATTTGAACAATAATACCTTTTGTCACATCTTGTCGAATACTTGTTTATGTCTAAAAATACTATACTCAACACGTTTTGTTTTTTTTTCTCGAAGTGCCCTCTCGTCAATGGGACGTTGGCTACTTAAATTGCAAACTCATCACTGTTGAAAATTTCATCCTGGTTATTATCGGGTGTTTCTTAGCCACAATAGTCTTTTCCTGCTTAGTCTCCACTTTCCTTCGATATGTCATTCTACTATTAATTGAGCATATGTTTACTTATTTCCCAGTATGTGGCCTAGGTATGTTTTCCTAACTTACGTTGTATTGATATGTTTTGGGTAATTGATTAGTCTAGCATTTTGACAAATTTAGTCCAGTTTTGAGTTGTATTTTAACCCGTCGACTGTGTGGTGGCATTTTTTGATAGTAGCTGTGTGTGTTAGGAGTAATTATCACACTTAACCTATAGGTTTTATAAATAGTGATAACCTGATAGATATAATAATCCGAAAACTGCACGAATTTCTTTGTATCCGTATTCTTAATTCTAAGGGACTAAATTGATTTTTTTATTAGTGCATTGAACAATATCTCCTACAATAATAGTATCCATGAATAATTCCTAGCAAAAATGGTCAACTAGCTTTCAAACCCAGGGAAATAAAATAATTAAATTTTTTATCAACCATTTACTGCTAAACAAACTTTACTTGTAGCGCCAGAAGAATCTGGCGATGATGCCAGATTTTAACAGGCGCTAATAAACGACGTGGGTGCCAGGTTAAAATCACATAGGAGGTTTTTGATTTGTTTAAAGATATTTTGATCTGTTGTATTATAGATCCTATTTCTAGATCAGGGATTAGATGCACAGAATTCTCTCTATAGCCAATTTGGTAAGTAGGTATTGAATTATCTGGTAGACTTTCTTTTATTTTTCTTAGAAGTATTCTTTAAAATATTTTAGGAGTAGGTGACTTAGAGGTCAGTATTATTATTTTGGTGGGAAATCAGCGTACTTTAGTTAAGTTGGGGAAAAACAAAGATGGAGTATTTGGTTGAAAAGTGTATCGCTTTATCTTATAGTTTCTCATAGTTTTTTCATATACTTAGTTAAAGTTTCTAGATAAAAATAAAAATATTTATAAGTTTATTTATTTAAAAGATAGCTTCTTGTTTTCAAACGTTTTTGCAACCCTTCTTTTTATAGCTAGAAGCCAGGGTATAAACGAAACTTTGGGACACAGTGATTTCTTTATAAACGGAGCACAAAAACAGCCAGGTTGTTCAGAAAATACTTCTTTCGATAATGTACTATCACTGGAAAGAGGAAGTCTCCAGCAAGGTCAAGTTTTTCCTGGTTGTAGTCATAAAAGAGCGTTTAAATATTTCGTGGAATCAATGGTGAGCAAGAAATGTGTTTTTCAGGGAATAAAATGTGGAAGTTTAAAAGATTTTGATAATGTAAGGTTTGTTGTTTTCTATTTTACAAATTTTTGTTGTGTTTGAATATCGTCCTTTAAAAATACCAATTTAAAAATCATCTATTTAGAAATATATAATATACGTCTCAATTGTTAATATAAATAAGGTCGATGAGGCTTAATTATTATAATTTTTGTTTGCTACTAAGTAGCAAAACAAAATAATTGGTTAATTTTTAACGAACAGGTTTAACGGAAGTTAAAATCAAAATCTTAAAATAAAAGTATGGAATCGTATGTTATTTTTAAATAAAACAATTTTTTATTTAAGGGTAAGTGTACCAGCTGCAATGGTTCAGGACACAATTGCAGAATACTTGGTTTAAATAGATATTCTGATAGCTCAGAGGGAAACAGATTCTTTCTCAATACAGCTGCCCAATTTCCATTCTGTAGTAAGTCTAAAATTTCTAATATTTTTCTTAAAGTATCTCTTAGAAACGATTTTAGTTGTGATTTGCTGTAGTTTTATGAGCAAAAACTGTTTAAAATAAAAAAGACTGATAAAAAACGAAAGAGTATTGAAAACTAAGTACTACTAATGTATATGCTTGTTCACTTAATTTCCTATCCATTAAAACAAATCTTAATCGGATAATTCTTAAAATAAAAACTAAGATTCAACTTGGTAGCTTGGTAAAAAAAAATTAAAGTGTACCTTATTGTGAATAGTTTTAGGATTTCATAATCAAATTAATAACAACATCCTAAATATTACCAAAAATACTAAATAATAAAAACTGCAAAAATAGTACTAACTCTGGGTGAATTGTACCTATCAGATGAGAATAGATAAAAAAACAAAACTTAACAGTATCACCATAAGAATTATAACCAAGAAGCTATATCATCATCATTCAATCTTCGCTTATCCACTGCTGGACATAGATCTACCTCATAATTTTCCATCTATTCCGATCTTGTGCCTCTTGCATGCAATTCCTATGACAACATTTTAGATCGTCAGTTCAAGGTGTTGGTGGACGTCCTCTGCTTCGGTAGGCATCATCTCTTGGTCTCTATTCCAGTATCCGCTTTGACCATCTGTTATCTGTCATTCGAGCCACGTGACCTACCCAGTTCCATTTCTGTGTTGCTACTCTCTCCACTGCATTAGCCACCCATGTTCTTTGTCTTTGGGTGCTGGCGATTTGGGATCTTGTCTGGTAGTGAAACGCCCAACATAGCACGGCCCATCGCCCTTTGACACGCACGGATCTTTTAAACAGTTTTCCTTGTCATGGTCAACGTTTCCGCACCGTAAGTCAACACTGGCAAAACACACTGACCAAAGGTTTTTCTTTTACGACATATTGATTTATCAGACGATTTGAAAATATGGTTTAACTTGCGGAAGGCTGTCCAAGTCAGTCTTATACGACGGAGAAGCTCAACGGTTTGGTTATCTTTTTCTATGCGGATCTCATAACCTAGGTATTTATAGGCCATTACCTGGTCGATGGATCTTGTTCCTATGCATATATCTTCGCTGACTATAAGATTTGTCATAATCTGGGTTTTAGATATATTTATTTTCAATCCCCCTTCTAGCGAGGAAAGGTAGAGCTGATTTAAAACTTCTTTGGCCTCATCTATCCTATCAGCTATTAGTTGATAGATTTAGAAGCTATATAAATACAAAAAATATGCAAATTAAGAATATCGATGTAGATAATTATAAAAAAAAACAAATAAAAACTAATATTTATTAAAATAAAATAATTTAAGTAGGATTTGAGTTGTAATTAAGAAAACTTATTTTACTCAAATATTTTCTTTTTATCTATGAATATTTCAGTGCTTGAATATCGAATAAGTGTTAGCATTACAGATAATGAAAAATACGGCTATTTTACCTTTATCCTAGTCGATGAAAACGCTAATATTGCTGAAGCTTCTCTCACCGTTGAAAATAGGTAAGTTATATCATGCAACTTTATTATTTTTTTATTTATATAGGTATACGTACATTTTGATGATTGTGATTTCCTTCAATACCCCTGAAAAATTTTCTCCATTGGTTTATATCTTCAACTGTTCTAAATATTTCGCAGAATGAGTGGCCTTCTAAATTCTAAATTTGGTCGGACCATCTAATTGGTATACGACCTCTTGTGTTTCTTTCCGCAACGTTTTTCCAGAAACACAATGAATTTATCTAAATTATCGCCACCTTTGAGAACCAAGTGATCAAAGTAAAAGACGCAGGAGAACATGTTGCTAAATTAAAATGGAGGTTCGCAGGACACAATGCTCGACTGTAGGATGAAAGATAGAACCATGAAATACAGCGATACAGACCATGGTTAGGAAAGAGAAGTAAAAACCACAAATGAGATAAGCTGATGACAATAAGAAGATCGAAGGACACAATTGGAAGCAAGTGGCACAAAATAGAAACACTGGATCGATTTGGGGGAGGCCTATGTCCTAAATTGGATTACTTAAAGCTGAAAGAAGAAAAATAAAGATATAGTATTACTCTTAAATCTAGGTCATATATAAATATTGTAACCGTTGCAAAAGTTTTAGGAAATTCATTTGAAATTCGATTGTTTTTTTTTAAATAAAACTGTAAACCCCATCTATCTGCCGGGTACTTGTAGCCGACTCAAGATTTATACTGTAATTCTAAACCTATCCGATAGATGAGAACGATTATTAACTTGTCAATCACGCCCCAATTCAAACCGGGAAATGATAGCGTCTGTCTCTTTTCTCTTACAAACATCTGTTAAAACTGTTAGGACGTGTTTTGTGAAGTGGTCTCTATATAGAGGTAAGCCAAAGAAAAAAGGCCTTTTTTTGTCTATATTTTAAGATAAATAATTATTTTTAGACCTTCTTTTACCGGGGACAATAAAAGATCATTAATTATGTTTATTTGACTCGAAGTTAACTGAGAAAGTCGTAAACGCAGCCCAATAATCCCTTATGATCTAAAAAAAATGGACCCCTAGTAACTAATTTAACGAAATGCTTGGAGGTTGAGAGGAAGCAGAACATATCCTTTGTGTATGGTTGCCAGCTAATGGACGATTGAGGTTGTACCTTTTCTTTTTTATTATACCCTATCGAGAAAGCGAGAATAATTATGGACTCAGAGAAAGAAAATATAGCAGTGTTTTAAATTTTGTTTAAAGATTTAACTTTTCTATTATGCCTAGTTAATAAATAACTACTATAATATTTTAAATGTAAACGAATTTCGAAATTTGGGAATAATATATAAATTAATTTGTTTTTATCAACCAATTCTTGATTTAAAAAGATATAAAGTTGTTTTGTTTCTCGTCTCTCTCGTCCTTTACGAGGATAAACAAGGGGTGGCGTCCAATAATAAATTATAATTTTGAATTGTCTGATTGTGTTTGGATTTTTGAGATATTATTTAATTTCTATACACTTGACCTTGCCCCGCCCTTCATCTCCGAATTGAGCGATTCTGGCCTTAAACTTAATGTGTGTGCGGGATGTTTATTACACATCCACGCTACAATATAAATGGAATTATATTTTGAAAACGTTTACATAAAGATATTATTCTTTTAGGGACACCTATAGAGTCTTTAAAAGTCAGTCAGCGACTAATAATAGTTTTGTATATTTTGCCAAGCCTCCTCGTCTCAATAATATTAGAGAAGCAAAAGTAAAATGGATTGAAAAGAAAAAGATATATTGTTTTATTTTTTGCAGAATGATCATTAGAGTACAAAAAGTAACAGTTGCATTTTTGGGTACAGGAAACGACGATGAAAGGTAAATATTATTTGGTAAAAAACGAGAACTGCATTATCCACTGCTATATTTGTTCTTTTCTTTCTAATCTTATAGTTTTTTACCGCTTTTTTAATAATAATAATAATAATAATTGATTATTTTTAATAATAATTGATTATTTCTTTAACGTTTTTTATCTTGTTAAATAGGTTGTGCCACCATATTGAAAACTTTAATGTCTTTATTGACCGATCACTTGATTTTTAAAGTATTTCTATTACTTTTTCACCTTTCAAATCAGAATATAACTTTTCGGCTGTTGAGCTACACAGAATCTTCTGATGACCTAACGCGTATATAACTTTTATGTGTGAGTCCGTGTTGCTCTCTGATGGCACTTAACCTGATAAGCATATTTTATTACATTTATCATATATATTTAGCATAATTCCATTTAGTATTTCTCTACTTTTTTCCACTACTGTTCACAGCTATAAGTATTATTTTATTTTAAAATTTAATTTTTCTTATATTTTTACAATAATTAATCTTTGATAAGTGAAGTGAAGTATTTCAAACGTATAAAATAATTCAATAATATCCCGCAAACTTTATTTTATTTATTTAAATTATTTATTTATTTAAATTTAAAAATAAAAATCGTGTTATTAGAGCCCCATTATTGATTGTTTTAGTGCCGATTTGATTTTTTGTCCTCCTGATGAAACCGTGGAAATAGAGAGCGGATCATATATTACATTTACCAAATGCTCGGATCAAATAGAATTACCAAATCCAACAACGCAGGCAATACATATGAAAAACACAAACGAAATCTATATGACAATCAAAAAAGCGAACACTGCTAGTGTTATAAAAAGTACCAGCACAAAATCTATTACTGAAGCGAATTTGATGTCAATTCAAGCGTAACATGAAATTATTGTCAGTCTCAGCGCCGAAACCCGTACTAAATTTTTCAACTCTTTCCAATACGATTACACAAGGATGGAGTAAAGCAGAAGCCGGAAAAATCACAGCCAATAATTTAGCCCGTGACTAACATTTAAGAATACAGTTTTTAAAGAAACTAATAGTTTGACTAAAACAATTATTATCTCTACATAGTTAAATAATGTAATCAAATAAAGTAGCTAAAGAGAGACCTTAATATACTTTTTATATAATAAACTATCTATTTGTTACAAGATCCTGTTTTTTTTTTTATGAATAATTATGAATTATAAATTAAGACCTTTATTTACTATCATCATCATCATCATCGCCATTAACCTATATGCGTTCACTGCTGGACTGAGGTCTGCCTTAGCTCCTTCCATCTATCTCTGTCTTGTGCGGCTTGCATCCAGTTATTTCTATCAAGCTTAAGGTCTTCAGTCCATCTAGTTGGTGGGCGTCCCCTGCCTCGTATTGCTTCTTGTCTTGGTCTCCACTCGACAATACATTTTGTCCATCGGATGTCTGATAATCTGGCGATGTGTCCTGCCCAATTCCATTTTAGCGACGCAATTTTTTCGATGACGTCGGTTGTTTTTATTCTATGACATATTTTTTGTTTTGTTTTATATTCGGTCTCTCAGAGAGACACCCAACATCTGCGCTTCATAGCCCTCTGAGTCAGGCGAATCTTAGCCACTATCTTTTTTGTGAGTGTTAATATTTCCGCTCCATAACTGAAACACACATTGGACAAATATTTTTCTTTTGATGCATATAGCTAGGTCTGATTTAAATACATAGTTTAATTTACCAAACGCTTCCCAGGCTAATCCTGTACGACGTGGGAGCTCACATGTCTGGTTATCTCTGTCCAAGAGAATTTCATGTCCTAGGTACTTACACGATGTAGTCTGCACAATATCCCTTACATCAACAGCAATATTTCGATTTAGCAGCAGATTAGTCATTATTTGCGTCTTGTTGAGAGACTGTATCTCCTTACCGTACTCTTCGCTATATGCAGAATTTATTTGTTTCTTGTTCAGATAGGCTTACGCTAGCTTTGGTAGATATATTTGATTATGTTAGTGTCTTCTTCTCGTGCCACTCCTAGCGGAGATTGGAAATCATCATGGCCACTGCGACTTTGTTAGCAGCGCGCCTAAAAAGTTCAATCGAACTACACCCGAACCATTCACGTAGATTACGAAGCCACGATATTTTTCTTCTTCCCACACTTTTTTGCCCTTAATTTTGCCCTGCATGATGTTTCTTAAAAGTTCGTACTTTTCACCTCTCATAATGTGCCCCAAGTATTCCATCTTTTTAGTTTTTATCTCATTTAGAATTTCGCATCTTTTGTCTAAAGTTTGGAGTACTTGCGTGTTAGTGACGCGGTCCATCCATGATATTCTGACAATGCGCCTATAGCACCACATCTCGAAAGCTTCGATGTTTTTTATGGTCAACTGTTTTAGTGTCCAAGCCTCAACTCCATATAACAGGCTAGAAAAGACATAACACAGCAGCATTCGTATTCGTAACTTTATATTGATATCACGATTGCAAAAGAGTTTGCGCATTCTATTAAAGACTGATCTAGCAATTTCTATTCTCCATCTAATCTCTTTTGTTTGATCAGTATCGTCTGTGATCTAAGCACCTAGATATTTATAACAGGGCACACGCTCAATCGTTGTATTGTCTATTACAAGATTAGCTCTGATGTCCTTTGATTTCGTGATTACCATAAATTTAGTTTTTTTCAAATTAATTTTCAAGCCGTAACTGTTACAGAATATATTGAGACTTTTAACGAGATGTTGTAGTTCTACTGGCGTTCCCGTTAGGAGAACTGAATCGTCAGCATACCTTATATTGTTGATCGTTTCACCATTTATTATCAGACCAAGATCTTCTTCCTCGAGTGCTTGTTCACAGATAGCTTCACTATACACATTAAATAAAAGTGGCGATAAGATACATCCCTGCCGGACTCCTCGACGGATTTAAATTTCTTCTGTTAGTCTGCCCTCAACCTTGACATTTGCTGTTTGATTCCAATATAAATTGCATATAATTCGAATATCTTGGCTGTCTATATTTTTCTTTATTAGAACTTGTCTTAGTGGTTCATGTTGTACTTTATCAAAGGCCTTTTCGAAATCAATAAAGCAGACGTAAATTTCTTGGTTCATGTCTAAGCATCTCTGTGAGAGAACGTTCATTGTAAACAGAGCCTCTCTTGTACCCAGTCCTTTTCTGAATCCCATCTGAGTGTTACTGATGTCTACGTCTAATTTCCTATAGATCCTATTATGGATTATTTTTAAGAACAGTTTTAGAGCATGACTCATCAAAGCTATCGTACGATATTCGTTGCATTCCTTTGTATTTGCCTTTTTTGGCAGTAGTATAAAGGTCGAACGGAGCCATTCCCTAGGTATTATTCACTAATTATGTTAGTGTAACGATGGTCCATTCGGCATTCTGTCAATGCTTTTAACATTTTGTGATTGCTTATATTATCGAATGCTTTCTCGTAGTCGACAAATATCAGTGCCAACGATTTTTTGTATTCTGCACACTTCTCTATTAGGTTCTTTATTACTACTAAATGATAGTCAGTGCTATGTATAATGTAAATCTTGCTTGTTCTCTAGGCTGATAGAAGTCTAATTTAGCGTCTAGTCTTGTTTTGATAATTTTTGTTAAAACTTTATATATGTGTGAAGCAAACTGATAGAAAGGTAATTTCTTAAATCTGTTATGTCTCTTTGCTTGTGTAATAAAGTAAGAACTGGAATATTCTATTGAGAAGTTTTTCCTTGGTAGATGTATTCGGTGAGAAGCTTATCCAAAGCCTGGATAATTTTATTTCCACCTAGTTTAATCGCTTCGATCACTACTTTATCATCGCCAGGGGATTTGTTATTTTTTATTTCTGAGCTATCATACGAAAGCACAAATGGGTCGGACTTTTTCAGTTTTCACTTTTACCGTCCAGTGCATCGTTGCCAATTAGTTACTATTTAACTGGGAATAAGCCACAATTAAAGATAAAAATACGTTTATTGACGTTTCAATTTCCACTTCGGAAATCGTTCTCAAAATACAAATAGTAAATTAAACAAATTTTGTTTTTTGTTACATAGTGAAAAATTCTTCTAATAATTTAATTTTGTCTGACTCATTTATATTATGCATACATTATGCATTTTAAAGTAGACGACTTAAAAAAATGATATTGCCCATATTGTTCAGTTGCGCCCCTGGGACGACTTTACTTATAAGATAGTTCATTCGATTACATGAAATCAACTTTAACTTGAGAATATCCGTCAGAAAAAAATCATAGCATGTAATTCGTCTTTAAAAAGACAAACACATGACATGATGACAGTAAAATTCTCCTGTTAGTGATTCCATAGTAAATTATGAGGGAAAAACCAGAAAAAAAACCTCATAATACTATCCCAACATTGTAAGTATTTGTTCGTGAATTTAGTTTACCTTCAACAAACATCAAAATTCTGATTTTATATGTCACGTTATTTAAAAACCATAAATGATGTATCCTCTATATGTTACTGACTTACTAATACTGGTATTTTCTTATTAATAACTTCCTCTTTCAATATTGGTAACCAGATCCTACTACATTCTGCCGAGGAATTTGCGACACAATTGGCCTCATTTAGCATAATTAGAGCCGCTTCTTTGATTTTTGTTTTTTTACCAATCGTTTCTTTTAGGACTACATTTCCCAGTTAAATAGTAATTAATTTACAATGCCACAAGAAAATAGCTTCAGAACAATGTTGCCAATTAGATCTATGCAACTATTAACAGCGTCATAGCTCTTTAGAAAATCTATTACCTGTAATAAAATAATATTCGTCGAGGGAGAGCCTTAGCGAAACAGTATGGCCAAAGTTCAGCATATTGTAAACTAAAATTTTTAAGGCCGGTGTGTCTGTTCTGTCTGTTAGAGATAAAAACTATGTCGGACGAAAGTTATAGGTGTTATAAATTGACAAAAGAAGAGGTAAAGGAAAACCGTGAAGAAGATGGAAGGACTTTGTAACAGACTTGATAGAGAAAGATTTGGGCGAAGAAGACTCGATGGACAGAAATAAGTGGCGACGAAAAATAAGGAACAGCGACCCTTCTTCTTCTTCTTATGGTGCCTGTACGTTACGGATGTTGGACACTAACATGGCTATTCTGACTTTGTTGACTGCTGACCTGAAAAGTCCGGTAGTGGTTAAGTTAAACTATTTTCGCAGGTTAAGCAGCCAGGATATTCTTCTTCGTTCTGGACCTCTTTTCCCATGCACTTTACCTTGAAGTATGGTCCGAAGTATGTCATATCGTTTTTCATTGCGCATTATATAGCGATCCTTGAAAACAAAACCTAAGGAAGAAGAAGAAGAGTGATCCAGGGTTAAGGATAAACAGAAAGGATAAATAACTAAAGGTTCATGTAGAAAAAGTATAAATAAATAACTGCTAGGCATTTACACTAGATTTATTTTACACTAATTCACAAAATAATATACAATCCATGTAATAACTTAACAGTAGGAGTTCTATACACAACTTTAATCAGCATTTAGTGTATAAAACATGTTTAAACATGTTCAGAATAGTGTGCGGTCTTCAATTCTTCACTGTCTTGTAACTATGATTCTGATTCGAAGGTGATTCTTTCCTCGAGGCACAGAGTTTTAAGATTTTTAGTGGAAGAGATGCTATTTAGTAACAGAAATTTAGAACAATAAAATTCTTACGTGATTCTTGTATACGCTATATATAAAATCAGGTGGACAGAAAGGTGTCAACCTTTTACAATTCGTTGGATATTTGATATTAGTTAGTAGGAATTAGATACTTCATATGGAAACTTTTGTTAAAAAACTTTATTATAGTCATGATAATAGTTTTGGTTTTGTATACCACATTTTCTCATA